ATTTACACGAGATGGGCATGTCTCTCTGCCTTTTGTAGTATTATTTTTTGTTTTTGCATATTTTTGTTTTATATAATTTTTTGTCAGCTAGTTATAATATATAAATATGTAGTTACAATTCAATATATTCACTCGAATTGGAGGTTTGGTACGATCCTGATTTTATTGATTTACTTCTACTTGTATATCCTATTAATTTAATGTTCTGTATCATTTCTAGATATGCTGTTTCCACTAGCTGCATTTTCGTGAACTTGGAGTTTCTTTTGGTTTCCCTGATTAGTCCAAAATTTTAGGAGTTTTATGTACGCGACTCCTTCCCCCCCCCCCCCCTTTCTCCTCTTTTTTTTCCTAGCTGGATGTAAAGTCTACTCAGGTGTACGACTAGACCTCAGTAAGATATGCTTAGTGTGTCGTTTCGACCGTGCTGCTTTTGTTCGAGTCCATTTTTCTTTGAGCTTCAGAAGTAACTGAAGAATGTGTTTCTGATGTCCTATTCTTGATACACCTACAAGTTTCCTTATCCTTTCTGATATACATAGTAGTGGTAATTTTGTAGACCTCTTTTTTGGTTCAAATTATACAGTAGCTCCTGTTCACAATATTTGGTCTACTTGGCGTTTCAAGTAGAGTAAGATAATTTCTAGTAGATTTAGAGATCAAGTGTGTAGGGAGAAAATAGTTATCAGCTTGGAAGCAATCACTAAATATGGAGGAACGCCTGTTACTCTGTTCTATACAATAAAAATCATATAACAGTGCATCAACATTAGAACAATGTTCGGAAAGTTGAAGACTATGAAGTCGATTTAATCTAGTTTTCCCTAGGTACGCGAAAGTTCTTGCGAGAAGAAAAATTCTTCATCTACCTGGCCAATAGATTACCACTAGAAATCGACATTAATAACTTGAAACCATTAAATATCAAATCACTGAGGGTAGATTCAAGCATTTTCCTGTTAGATGTTCACTTCTGCTACAACAAATCGAAGATCTAAGAGAGCCTATCAGAGGGGCATTTTTTGCATTATTTGTGATTGTGATATGTTACTATTTATAAGTATGACAATCATAAAGTAGAAGTTACTCAGAGTACGATTCTTAAGGCATGGTTGCTTTCAGTGCCAAGATTTTTGTTATGTGGTGTAGGGTAATACTGTATTACGGTGACCCAAGCTTGGCTCACGAGTCACACTCTTTCTCACTAATTTAAAGAATGTCCTATAAACACAAATTGGACCACTCCATCATGTCTACATTTTCACCTTTTCTTCAACTTATGGCCTGAATTAACACCCAAAAATTTTTCTTGCTAAATTTAATCCCAAAATAAGATAAAAAAAGACGATCTCTGTTTTTTCCATAAAGATCCCTAGAACATAAAAGTATTTTCTTTCTTTCATTTAATTCAAAGTGTGTCATTCTTTTGGCAGTTGAAGCATTAAAATAAGAACACTGATTTTGTGAATGAATAAATAAATAAATAAGACATAGGTAAGCGGTAGGCCTTTTTTTCCAGACGGTAGGCCCTAATACAAAATAAACATTATATTTCTTTTCTAGTATTACTCTGTATTAATTTAGAGATAGCATGACAAAATTTGTCAGTGTATTTAATGTTTTATTTTACGAGTATTATTTTTACTTTTAGCTGTTTATATAACCATTAGGACTTTATATATTATTTTCCTTTTTAAAATAACCGAACACCGCATATTGTAGAATAGGAGGACATGGATAGAGTTTCCACTTCCAGAATTTCCCGACAAGAAGAGCGCCCACAAAGCTTGTCATTGGACCCTTGAGAAAAATGAGGGGGCATTGAATTGAAATAAATACCAAACTCTATCTTATCACTTCACCCTGACGGTTGGCTTTCTTATAAGTGTATCAGTGTATGTGTACTACTCCTCATCACCCACATCATTATTCAAACTAACTCACTAATCTCTCTGTATAGTGCTCCAACTATGGTTTTCAACAGTCCTAAATTTTACTATACCTGAAAATAAGATACACTTGTGCTGCGGGAATATAAAAGATTCCATTCATTTCAAAATCATTATAATATACGGAATTGTAAATTTGACATATACCCATATTTTTTTTAAGGAAAATTATAGGGTAAGGAAAATACAACATATTTTTATGTACTATATAACAAGGGTGTTAGTGAAATACAGTAGTTGCTAGTTAGTAGGGGTGTTAGTGAAATAGAGTAAGAATTGAGATTAGTGAGATTTGAAATAATACTAGTAAGATACTTCGTAGTAGTCTATAATATTAACAGTGTTGCAATTAATTGCGAATGGATAAAAAAGACAAGTGTTTTCATCAATCTAACATATAATATTTTTTATATTGAGTTTATTTAAGCTTTTTTTTTTTCTTGTTTTGAAGAAACTATCTTAGTTTATTTTAATTACACAAAGTTTCATATGAGGCTGGTCATACCGTGTGCTTGAGGTTACTTATTTAGGGGTTACTCGATCAAGGGTTACTCGATCAGTGTTTTGGTGTGTGTGAGCCGGTCACACAAAAGCCGCGTTGTTTTAGTTATGTATTGGATTTTTTATTTTATTTTTATTTTTTAGTACTTTTTTTTTTACCAAAAGTTATGTATTGGACTTAACTAATCTAAAAAAGAAGAATTTTATCATTATTTTTAGAGAATTCATTAGTGTTTCATCACAGCTCCTAAGGGTTTCATAACTTGTCCTTCATAGTGCACAAGCTAAGTCACTAAGAGAGATCGAAGGCAACTGAGAAGGCTAGCGAAATAGTAAAAGAAGATTCGAAAATGCAACTTTATTAGTGGAAGGGTAATAATTAATGACAGAAGGGGGAAAGGAACCTCGTCAATATAATTAATAAGGCAAGAAAAAGAGAGAGAGAGAGAGATGCATAGTTTATCAAGATGGCTATGATCCAATTGGCAATTGGGAATGAGTTGAAGAGAGCCAAGTAGACATTGTACTCTCCAGTCTCCATGCATGCTTTACAAAGTCTTTTGTTTGACACATGATCACCTTTTCATATAACATTACCTTTCTTTTTAATAAGCTTTTCTTTTCAGTTAAAGGCCAGGCCATCTTATAAAACAATACTAATTTATCTCAAAACTTATCTTTGAGGATTTCAAATAAATAATTATGTATGAGTAGCTTTATTAAATTTTATATTGGAGTTATTTTATTTTATAAGCAAGGAGATATTCAATATGATGGGTTAGAGCCCTTAGAGGAGAGGTGCAAGGGGCAACATTTAAATTATATGTACTCCTAAGTTATAAGCATGATTGATTTTAGCATAGACATTTAAAGAAGGTTGAAGTTACACTTCACCGTAAGCTCAATTTCAAAAGGCTCCTTTATTGACAATAGGAAAGAAAAAACCTACTCCGTACTTATTTCTTTAAGTTTGAAAAACTTTATATACTCCGTAGTATTAATGTATCTCCAAAATGTATACACCTTCTTTTGTTGTATTTTTTTCTATAAAAAATAAAATAAAAATCACAATACCTTTTTAAAATAAAAAATGGTGAGGAGAATGAAGTATATCTTAACTAATGTTCAATCCTCACAGTTTTATTATTCCAGCATTTGTAGGTCAGTCAGTGGAAAAAATCAAGGAAAACCCCTCTCAAAGTATCATCACTTGGTTTAATTCAAGCCCCAAACTTCTAAGTGTTAACATATACTTCCTTCTTTTTTTTTAGTTGACACGTTTCTTTAGTCACGTTTGCCAATGCACAGATTCAACCATTCATATCTTTAATTACCGACAAGCAAAAATTATGAAAAGTTGATATTTTAAAAATATATATCGTGACGAATCTAACAAGATCTCACATGACTATATTTTTCATTATGTATAAAACACAAAACACAGTAAAAGGGGAGTGTGTGAATAGTGCTAAAATCAAACGTGTCAATAAAAAAAAAACGGAGGTAATATAAAACTTTATCAAGTAAAACCTCGTTTTATGAATTCGAAGTATCACAACACATGCTTTCTACGACAATCCAATATTATACTTCTATAGAATACTTGTATTTAATCAACATCAACTTTAATTGAGAGTACGCTAATAACTTCTTTAAATATAATTTCTATCTTTCACTCTATTCTCTTATTTTGGAGAGCTTGTTATATACATCCAGGTGTATCGTACACCATGAGTATTTTATTCTCATTTTGATAATTGTTTTTTATTTAATTATTAAATGAAGAGCAAACACTAATCTTGGGTGTACGGTACATTCAGGTATATACAATAAATTCTACTTATTTTGTGCTATCTTTGATTTTGTTTTCCTCACTTTAAGGGGGACCAAACTACTCCTACCAAAATGGAGTGTCTATGGCTTGTACATATATACACAGAGCATAACTGTTAGCCTAACGTGAGCTTGTGACACTTGAAATAATTTCAATGTGATTAGTTACCACTCACCTAACATTAACTTTTCGGTGAAGCAAAACACATACAACATATCATTTGTATGATCTATGTTCATATTTTAAAACGGTTTTAAACTATAACAAGAAACAAAATAGGAGTTGATATTACAACACAAATTCATTGTTGTACAAGACTTTTTTGACTAATTTTGCACATACAGATGTATTTGGCACAACCCTCTTGACTAAAATTACATATTTATAACCTCTGCCTAGAATTCAACTACCTGCCAAATTAGCAAAAAATTAATTCTTCAACTTACATATTAACGCATTATTATAATTACTCATTGAGACAAATTCAATACTCCATAAATATATAATCAAAGTAAAATATGTAACTAGTATCTCATAAGTTCGTGTTGCACACTTGCACTTGTACAACTAAAATAAGAAAATATTGCCTTTAAAAAAAGAAAATAGGATAGCAACAAAAACCACCATGCGAGCATGAGTCCACATTTCCTGCAAAAGCATTAACAGGAGGAGAAACCCAAGAAAAATACAGACTATAATATTAAACAAAAAAGAGATGGATAAAAAGGAAGCTACTAAACTATATTAAAATTAACAATTAAAACAACATGTATTTACAATATTTTCCTCTTACATCCCCCAAAATTTCCTTTTTCCTATCTTCAAGGAAAAAAAAAAACAAAATCAAGAAAATAAAATCTACCTTAAATCTAAAAAAAAAAAAAAAAAAAACTGGATAGTGAGAGGAAATAATGGATTTTTTTTAAGTGGCCCACATAAAAAATTGCAATTATATGGAGTAGCAATTACTACTTCTCTCTTTCTTTTTTTTTTCTTTTTCTTTCTCTCTCCCCCGTCGCAGCCACCGACATCCAAACCTGAGCCGCAACCTTCGTCAGTTGTTGCTTTTCTCTCTCTTTCTATCGACAACTATTTCTTCTAAAAAACAATTTTTTAAAATTCAAAAAAAAAAAAAGAAAAAGAAAACTCTTCATTTCTTTCTCTCTCTTTTCTTTCTTCCTCTTTCAACCAACCAAACCAATCAATCAATCATCCCACTCTTCCGAATCCTCGGGTTCGGGTACCTTATTCAAATCGGGTTTCTCATCAACAACCCACCCACACCCAACAAACCCACTCCTCTTTTCTCTCTCCTCAACCGTTACCTTACTCTCCGGACTACTACTACTATGATTGTCGTGTTCGTGTTCGTGCTCGATGTTGTTAATATGACGGCTGATGCTATTATTGGAGTTAGACCGTTGAAAAGCGGTCTCGAGAGCATCAACCCTAGCACCAACCTCAATAGCTTTTTTTTCGGATCGAAGCAGCCGATAAATCGCTAAGACGACACTCCCCCATCAACAACTCAGGAAAGTTAAGCCGTGCGGATGGACCGCGAAGATAATACACGGCCGTGTCGTAAGCTCGTGCCGCTGCAACCGGGGTTGAATACGATCCTAACCATATTCTTGATCGTTTATTGGGCTCTCTAATCTCGGCTACCCACTTCCCCCACTTCCTCATCCTTATCCCTTTGTATGGCTTCTCTGCTCTCTCTCTCTTCTTCGTTGACCCCGCTTCCATGCTTGCTTCTTCTACTTCTACTACTTCCAACTACGACGAACTATTCTTCAAGAAGAGAGAGAAAAGAGGAGAGAGAAGAAAAAAAAGAGAGGAATTTTGGGGTTTTGGGGATTGTGTGTGGGAAATAAAAATAGGGTTGTTATATATTTATAATTTATATCAAAAAAAGTAATGAGTTTTTTTTTTCTTATTTTTTTATGAATTCATAAACGAAAAAAGAAAAGGGAAAAAGATAATAAGTGGGAGGAATAATAAGATATCACCGACATGGGTGGATGTAGGAGAGAGGGAAAAATAAAAATGTTGGTTAAGTTATAATTTTGTGGGGGCTTAATGGACGGCATGTCCACAAAGAGGAACAGCTAGATTTATAAAAGCTTTTTCATCAGTCATTTTCTCTCTCTTTAATTGTTTATATTGGAGGTTACCTCAACTTATCTATTTTCTTTGCAACTTGAGAGATGAGGCTGCGTTTGGTTTTATTATACAGAAGAGAAGAGATTAGATTATATGATTTGGGTTTGGGAGAAAATTTTATTATTAGAAATATCTGATTTGTGGGTAATGACTGGTGTGGTGGGTGTCTTGTGTGGGGTTAAGGGATAGTGAGAGGAGGGTGGGAAATTTTTGCAATTATTACTCTGAGCTTTTTTGTTATGATTATTATTTTCAAGGATGGGTGTACTCGGGTGTATGAAAGATAAAGTCTATGAGGCCGTGATTAAGTGTGTTGTTTTGTGTCATTTACTTATTTGATGTAAGTTTAACTTGGTAAGGAACATAATTGAGTATTGTAATGTCAAACAATGTTGTGATTGTTCTTTTGATTATTATAGATTTATGTTTGTTAAAAAAGCGCTTAATACCTTAAAAACTTAATATGAGTATAAAACGTTGAGCAACATGCAATATATTATTCAATCCAAACTAGGACTTAGCTCACTTAATAAAAGTCTCACCTTATATCATGACTTAAACTCTTAACTTTACTATATGTGATGGTATTTGAATATGAGATTTCCTTGCATGAGTTACATCTCCTCCTGCTTTCAAGTACCTATGGCGTAAATAAAACCTACTTTGGGCATTGAGATCAAGTTAAGGTTTATTTATTTCCTTTTCCTTTTACAAAAAATAATATCACGTCATATACAAAGGATGCAAGTACAAAAGAAAAATTATTAACAACTTGATTTTTTTTTTCTACATGTAATGTACTTTCTTATGAGTTGTTCTAAGAATAATTGAACCTCTAAAAAAACTTGAGTTGATAGTTCGTGGGAAGAAAAAAAGCATATTATGTTTAATATAATATGATTAACATATTCCTAATAACGAGTACTTATAATTGATGCAATAATATCAGCCCCAGGTTTCAATCTTGTTGGCAAATAGCTATGCAACATAAATTATTTTTGTCAAAAACCAATAAAATAGGATATAGTAGAAACAAACCAACAAATTTTATTTAAAAAATTCTTTAAAAATATAAACCTTGCCATATATAGACCACACATACTAATAATAGTTGTGTGTCTCCAATTATTATTATTTTTAATTACAAAAAAGGTTTGGAAAGAAATGAATGATACCACATTTTGTATGTGACTAATCACATCATGTGGTCGTTTGTTAAAAAACAAAGTAATCTATTTAACACTGATTGAGTACTCCTGTAACGCTGACCGAGCATCCTTATAATACTAATGAGGTAAACACGGTAATATTGAATGAGGAACCCTTATAACAGTCACTAAGTAACTAATGTTGACTACACCATATAGCCAGCCACGTATAAAAATATGTGAATAATGAATTGTGGTAATAAAAAGGAATTACGAGTACATTATTGAGGTGAATGATTAGTGTTAGTTTCGTACTCTAGTTTTTTGTTTTATCGGCTTTTTCTTTGATTGGTTTTAAAATATTTTATTATATAATAATTTAATATATGGTACTCGTTTGAGGTTTATGAGAAGAGGGTAGAAGGTAGGTCGGTGGTCGGTGGATATACTAGATGGATAGATACCGTTATGACTTGACTTTCCGTCTCCGCAATAACAACTTCATGTGAATGGACGAAATTACCCTTGAGGATGTTTGTTTTTATTCAACATATTTAGGGGTAGAATTGGAAAAGAAATGGGAAAAATGCATAAAACTGTTTAGCCCTGCAAATGTGGAAGAGGTGTACTCTGTCTCAAGTGCCATGTGTTATCAATTTCATTGGGGACTGAAGAGTGCCTGTGATTCGTACTCCATCCGTCACTTATTTATATGTCTACTTTTTTTTGGATCAAAATTATATGTCTATTTCTATTTTAATAATGTACTTTTTGATAATATTCTCTCTTTTTGATGAGTTGTCATCAATTTTCTTTTATTTATTTTGTACTTTTAACATCATTTTTCTACATTTTTCTCTCCATCTCTTTAATAATTACCAACTACTTTTTCTTTCACTCCATCTCTCTCCAATCCCACATGCACTTTGTATTTTCCAATCATGGATTTTAAGGAATTTCTAAGTTCCTTAATTCCCGTGAAAAACAGGAAATATGCATGTAAGTAGACGGAGAGTTGTACATGCAACATTTTTTTTTTTTAGATTATACTCAAACCAAAAAAAAAAATGATTAATTTTAATAAGATGTGACTAATCTTGTGGGATCTTTTTGGGGTTTTGCTATTTTGGTAGTGTGAAATGAATTGCTTTGAGCAGGAAATATTGCACAAATTACTTGATGGATCATGAGACATAGTAGGTCTTTTCGATAGGTCATCTATATTTAGCTCTTCCAAAATTGTTTGTTTTATCATCCGTGATCACAACCAGAAAAAGAGATTGTTTTTTCACTTAGCTCATAATCAATTCCAACATAATGTAATGGAAAAATTGGTCTACTTAAAACCTAGAAACAATTTTTTTGATGGAGTTTTTTTAAGTTTGACGGGAAAAATTAATTTATTCGTATGTATATGTCACTACTTAAAATTATGATCCTTATTGAAGAGTAGACATGAAAATAAATGTTATATTTGATTTGAATTACCTATTTTGTAACAAAACCAATCTAAATTGAAATTATTAGTCCAACTTGGATATAATTATGGGCCTTCTGTTAAATGATTTTATTTCATGGATATGATGATTTAATTTACAATAGATTGGAAAGTTACCCTACCTGATTTTGCTCGTATTTAGTCCAAATACTCCTCACTTGAATTTAACACGACTCGGATGAATACAAGTTGAATAGTCCAATTACCACCTCTTTTAATATCATTAGACTTCTATTTATTTACATGCGAGTATTAATTTTACTAAATGTAGTGAATTATAGCTATCAACTAAGAGTGTTTAAAAGCTTATTTTCCGAGTAGGTAGAATATACTTTATTTAATGACCGAAAACAAATAATCTCCTGCGGTAGAGGTACCAAATTTGTTCTTAAAACCGACATATGACATAATACATGTATAAAGATGCAATAAGATATTGAAAGCAACCGGTTGACAAGCATACAGGAGGAGGATGATGCACTAGGAATAATTAATCCATTAATTTGATGTAAAGCTTATCGTATTGCTTGCCATCAACCATAGCGGCCGGCAACCAAATTAGACTTCACTCAATTATTACTTCTTTTTTATAATCTCTCCTGTAGTTTGATTTCCCATTGTTGTGTACAATTATGGATTAATACCCACAACTATTTTCGTTGCGTTTTTCATATTTAAATACGGAGTACTAACACATCATTTGATAGACAACATATGCAAGTTTCCTTGTGTATAATAATTATAATAGTTTAATATTCACATTTTCTTTCGTTACGTTCTAATTCACATTTAAATACGAAGTACTAACACCTCACTTGATATATATTATGCAAGTTTTGTTAATTGTGTACAATTGTAGATTACCCACACCTACTTTCGTTATATTTTCACATTTAAGTACTTAGCATTAACACATCAGTTGATGTATACGAGCTTTTGTTTGTCTTACTCTACAAGTGATTAAATTTATGTGTGTAAAACAAATTAGTCTACTTCCCTAATTTATGTAGTGTTTTATTCACTTGATCTTATTCAATCTTTCTCTTGTTTTTACCTTACTAATTCTAAACTTATTTTATCTGAACTTGGTATCTGTAAGATTTGGTGAACTTTAGCTTGATTTCCATTAGCACCCACGATGCAAATATATAATACAAGGCAATAAAGTTTCCTTAGCCGTATCAAACTCAACAGCTTGACAAGGAAACATGATAAAGATGTAAAATATATCCTAGAGTAAAATATGTTCTCCAAATCTAAATATTCCCTAAATATATCTTAATACCCACCCTCCCTCAAATTAGAGCATGAGATTCGAAAATGCCCAACTTGGAAAGAAGATAGCCAAATTGTGCCTTTTCGAGTGCTTTTGTGAAAATATCCGCCAACTGAGAAGTAGTCAACACATGAGACGGTGAAATTAATCCTTCATTTATCGCATCACGAGCAAAGTGACAATCAACTTCTATGTGCTTAGTTCGCTCATGAAAAACTAGATTCCTTTCGATATGCAATGCCGACTCACTATCACAATATAATTTAATGGCTTTAGGATGTTGAACACCCAAACTCAACAATAAACCCTTTAGCCACTATAATTCACAAGTAATTCTTGCCATGAACCTGTACTCCGCCTTTGCCGAAGATTTAGAAACTGTATGTTCGGTGATTTTCCTAGAAACACAAGCCATCCTGTCAACAAGCGTCGAGTGAAAGGACACGCCGCCCAATCTGAGTCACACCATCCCTCTAATGTGAGCTCATTGTCTGAACGCAACAATATGCCTTGTCCGGGAGTCCCTTTTAGATAACGAACAACCCTCAAGGCAGCTTCCCAATGTTCTATGCGTGGAGCTTGCATGAACTGTGATAGTATGTGAACGGAGTAAGATAAATCTGGTCGAGTGATCGCAAGATATATTAGTCGTCCTACAAGACGACGATATGTCTCGGGATCCTGCAATAATTTGCCACTAGCACGAGCGAGTCTGTGATTTTGTTCGATGGGAATCCCACTAGGCTTTGCTCCCAACAAACCTGTTTCAGTGATAATATCCAGAGTATACTTTCGTTGACACAAAAATAATCCGGACGAACTATGAGCCACCTCAATACCAAATTTTTTTTTTTTAGAGGGCTAAGATCTTACATTTTGAAACTATCACTGAGATATGCTTTGAAAACCTTAAATGCAGCGGAATCATTCCCAAAAATAATAAGATCATCCACATAAACTAAGACATTGATTCGACTTTTGCCATTAGTGTATGTGAATAAAGAATAATCAGAATAGGATTGGAGAAAACTATACCCTTTCAAAGCCGACACCAATTTCGCAAACCAACACCTAGGAGCGAGCTTGTTTTAATCCATACAAAGACTTGCGCAACCTTCATACCAAAGAAGGATCCGAGCTTTCAAACTCGGGGGGCAACTTCCACTACTAGAAATAGGCCTTTTTCCAACGGACACAAATTTCCGTCGGAAATCCCATATATTCCGACGGATTTTTATTTCGTAGGAAATCCGTTGGAATATTCCGACGGAATATAAATCCGTCGGAATATATAGGCTTTCCGACAAAATATTCCGTCGGAATAAAAATTTCCAACGGAAATAAAATCCGTCAGAAAGCCCATATATATTACGACGGATTTATATTCCGTCGGAATATTTGTACTTTCCGACGGAATATTCCTTCGCAAAAGGTCATTTTCGACAGAAAA